CGCAGTCCGAGCACCTCCCGCGCATTCTTGCGCATCATTCATCACGGTCACCTCTCCAACTCATCACTCGCAGCAGTCCAGTTGACATCACCACCTCCCACCTGCTCACTCGTCTCGCTCTCCCCTCTTCACCCTCCTCTGTTAACTGCCTTAGCACGCGTTAGCCTTTTGCTTCATGCTTAGCGGCTTCCATCCTAGAACGACCCTCGCCAGCAGAGTCTCTCAAGAAAACGATGCCTCGCACGATGACTGGACGAGTCACAGTAGTGCGATAGCGCTTGATGTCAACAGCAAACTCCCAGGCTAGCGCGTCCCTCCCTGCGTTTCACCAGCACACTTTGACCGCTCCCTCTCACAGGACACGCCACCTGTCGCACGCGAACTCATTGCCCTCTCTCTACTTGTCTCTCATAATAGCATGTTTTGACCCTCTCTGGGCGCTGCTCTCTCACACACGTCCTTTCCCCCTATTTTTCTTCTCTCCCGTCCCGCGGCCCCTCGGCGTCAGTTGTCAAGAGCTGGCCTTAGGTCCCACTTCCACTGGGTCTGTCGCTCGGTGATGCCTCTAGATCTCACCTGGTCTGTTCCAGGACCTGAGATCCGTTTCCCGATCCGCATCACTCATCTCACTTTCTCCTCCCGAGTCTCTGTCTTGGTGGACCTGTTCTAGGTCCACTGTGTCCATCGAGGTTTCAGTTTCGTGGTAAGCCACCGTTATCCGTACCCTTGCTGTCACTCCGTCCCGCCTACAGTGTCTCTCCGCTCGGTCCCTCGCCTCTGAAATCGCGTTCTGCAGCTTCGGGTTAGTCCGCATTTCCCCTTCTCTTGCTCCCTCCACGTTGATCTTCAGTACCAGCTCATCTCCACCGTCATAGTTGAGTATGACGGTGATCCAGGGTCCTTCCCCGGACACGGGCTTCCAACGGGCCTGGTGATACCAGTACCCGGGCCTGTACCCATGCAATGCCATAGTCACTCGAAATAGCCAAGAACTTAGTCTCCAGGCACTCGCGCAGAGACAACCCCCTTACAGGCCCATGCAATGCCATAGTCACTCGAAATAGCCAAGAACTCCAGGCACTCGCGCAGAGACAGCCCCCTTACAGGCCCCGGAGCTCCGGTCTTTCCCTCGTCTCCGGCTCACAGCGCTAGTGCAGCGAAAATACTCTGCGACTAGCGTGTGTACAACTAAACTCTTCTCTCTTTTATAGGCCGTAACCCCGTGTTCTGAACGAGGGCTTCGAGTACTTTTCAAACTTCAGCACTCAAATTCGTATAACTCCTAAAACAACTCTGTGAAAGAAAAAGAAATACGAGACGCCAACGGTCCCCGCAGACCAGACACAGTGGTCCCATAATGGGTTACTAGTGGGTGCTCGCCCTTCTTTAAAACCCATAGTCTGGCTTACCACCATCGGGTACCCGTGTCTGATGGTAAGGAGGGGGTTCATGACCTCCTATAGGGGGTGACGAACCTCCTACCGATGCGGCCGCGGGCCGCCCCTCTTTTGGGACCTAACCGTGCGGCGCTCAATCGGCGCTCACTCTCAGAACAAATAAACGGGGCCGGCCAACTAGGACCACTGATCAAAATCCGAACCGTTGGCCTTCCCATGATATGACAGAAACTCGGGAAAAGGAAGGCCGTGCCTGAAGACTGGTAAAGTAATAATAACAATAATAATAATGAGAATAATRATATTAATCGCTGAAAAGGAAAGGGTGGCGTCCCAGAATTTCTCCGCGCAACACCCTTGCCTGAACAGCGACCCACATTCACGCACAAGTCTAGCACTGTATCTGCTTCTTATCCTGGCCACCGGGGTCCGCGCGATTCGGACAAATAGGTCTGGTACGGGCAGTATACGAGGGGTCAGGTAGGACCCACACCATAAAACCAGTTGCAGTCTGAAATCTGAATCGGCAACCCGCCCTACGAAGTGACAAAACTATTGTTGAGAAACCAAGAATAGGAAAATTATAACAATAACAACAATAGACAGGAAATCATAGCATCTCAGTGACTTGCGGCCTCAGGGTTTTCCCCATACAAAAGCGGGTTTAAATCTTGGCGTTTTATTTTTCTTTTTCTCTTTTCCTTTCCGACAACGACTTTCTGTTTCGTGCACCTAACCCATAACTTGCCTAGGGCGCGATCGCCGCGCAGCAGAAAAGACAACACCGGTCTTTTCACCTCCGCGTCCTAGGGCGAACCCGGCGGCTACCACGGCCACAGGCTGGTTGTGCTCTGCTGTACAGCAGGGCGCCGAGCCTACATGGACCAATGGAAAGCCCTGTGGGCACCTTTTGTCGAGGCGAGCACCAAACAGGGCCAGTCCACGTCACGGTACAGCCCGGGTACCAGGGAACTTAATCCCGGAACGCTCATTGACCTCCCATAGGCCAACATCAGGCAGAGTCCTGATACACGTGGGAGGGCCGGATCGCCGTGCCCTCCGACAACATGCGCAACCTCTTGCTCCAATGCCGGCAGCCACCCTGTGAGCAATCGCTCCAGCAGCGCTCCCGCCAGCCGGTGACCGAATGCCAATGCCAGGGGAGAGCTCTTTCCTTTATGGAAAGAGTTGGCCTGCTTACGCAGCCTTGCTGCACTGGCCTGGGCCCAGAACCTTCCGGAAGGCCCCAGGAGGCTGCCTGTGTACAACAGCTACTGGGCTGCTGGGCCTCGTTCGGTGGGGCGCCCAACTTTTTCTGTATGAGGCTGCGAATCACGCCCAGGGCCTGCATTCTTTGGAAAAGCCCGGAGGGCCGTGGAAATGTCTTTGTGGCCCGGCCTGAGTTTCTCTCAACCAACTGGCGCGTCGCAACTGCCTGGACCCCAAATATGAAATTGACAGTCGAGGGCCTCCTACGATATGTCAGGCCCGCCTTCACTTAGGGCGGGCACCTCTGCCTTCACTTAGGGCGGGCAATGCTGCAAACACGGCCCCTTAGGCCTACCGAGGACTCTGATCCTCGCATTCCCTCCTTTACTTCGTTAGTCATCTGAGAAGTCTCTTATTCTACAGGCATCTTCCCTTTTCGTTCTCTTTCATAACCTGCAATCACTTGATGCGCTGTTCTCATGAGTTCCTCTCGTGTGAACCAGCGATCTTCCTTGGGATCGGTTCTCTTTCATNTCCTTGGGATCGGTTCTCTTTCATAACCTGCAATCACTTGATGCGCTGTTCTCATGAGTTCCTCTCGTGTGAACCAGCGATCTTCCTTGGGATCGAGGTGATGTATGAAGCTCACACGATACTACATTCTCGGTTTAGGAGGGCGCCCTCTGCCTGATGATCGAGGAACAGGCATCACTCGGTGTTCCACGATCTGGTCGATGTCCACCTCGCCATCCATGGTTGGGGGCAGCATTGATCTTCTTGAAGGGAACTGCTCCGTAGCAGCGAAAGGTGCCAACTTGGAAGCATGGAATAAGGGTAAGTGCGTAGGTGTGCAGGAATACGAATCACGTATGAAGGCCCATCTGGTTGATCCCCTACAATGTCCAAGATCTCCCAGGGCCCGAAATACTGTGACATCAGTTTTCTTGAGATTCCTATCTCCTGACCCAGTTCAGATGAACTCACCCAGACTCTCTCACCTGCCTGAAAGTTAGAAGGTTGTCTGTGTTTGTTCTCAGATGCAATCATAGCATCTTGAGACTTCTTAATATGTTCCACTGCCTTCTGCAGCATCTGTTCATACTTGATAGCATACTCTATGCTGCCAGGGGCTGCAGTGGGTTGCCTTTCCGGTAGCAGAAAGTCAAGCGCAGTTCTGGGTTTCCAACCAAGATGTAGCTGGTTGGGAGTCATACCCGTAGTACTATGCACAACGTTATTGTACAGGCTGGCGACGAGAGGTAACTGCTCGTCCCTGTCATCCTGACTTGGTTAATATAATGCCAAAGCAGGTGTTGTACTACCCGGTTCATCTGTTCTGCCTGACCATTTGACTCAGGGTGATTCCCTGAAGTCATTTGGAGCTTGGTTCCCATTTGTTCAGCAGTTGCCTGCCACAGTTCACTGGTAAACCTTACATCCCTATCACTCACTATTGATGTGGGTAGTCCAAAATCCCTAACCCAGTGATCCAGAAACAGTTTGATGACATAGTTAGTTTTCGCAGTTTCTGGCATAGCGATCAGTCTTGCATATTTAGTAAAGCGGTCCACTATCACGAAGATATGCCTCTTTCCAGACTTACTGGTCACAAGAGTATCCATGAAGTCCATGGACACACTTTGACCAGGACCTTCAGGAATCGCCAAGGGCTTGACGAGCCCAAGCGGAGCCTAAGTCCTAGGTTTGTCCCTTTGACAGACCCGGCAAGTTTCAACATACCTTTTTGTATCTTGCATCATAGTGGGCCACCAAAATCTCTGCACTAGGTTAGCTGAGGTCTTTTTATATCCAAAATGACCAGTTGCGTCATGACACTCGCCTAAAAATAAACTACGTAAAGACTCACTATACGGGACACAATCTTTTATTCCCTGCCTTCTCGAGGAACAGCAAGCCATCTACCATCGTAAATTCGTCCAAAGTTTTTTTGTCCTTTGCTTGGAATCTACGGATGATCTCTGACATAACTGGATCTCCCTGATAGGCTTCCACCAACGATCGAGTGAGTTCGTTAGATATGCCAAACTCAGTGACTAGCGTGCCCAAATAGTCTGCCCTTCTCGATAATGCATCAGCCACTTTGTTGTACGTACCCTTGATAGGATCAAGTTGATAGTCATACATGTCTATCACTTGAATCCGTCTTTTGAGTGCGTCCGACAGAACAGGCTGTGTCTTAATCCAGCGCAAAGTCTCATGGTCCGACCTCACATAGAAGAATCTCCCTAGGAGGTAGTGTCTCCAATGAACATGCGCTCTTTACAGGGCGTACAGTTCTCTCTCATACGTGGACTTAGCTAACTTCTGGGAAGGCATCTTTTTACTCATATGCTCGATCGGTTTCAACTTTGGCCCCTCCTATTGCGCAAGGACCGCGCCTATGCCATATTGGCTGGCATTTGTGGTCACAACAAACGGTTTGTCAGGATCAGGAAGTTTGAGAACTTCATAGCGTGTTAGAGCATACTTCAATTTCTTGAAGCTTGCCTCACACTCTTCAGTCCACTCCCAAGGGGTGTCAAGTCGAGTTAGATCCGTTAATGGGGAAGCTATAGTATTATAGTTCTTCACAAACGGACGATAGTAGCCCGTCATCCCCAAAAACGATCTGACCTCAGTGACTGTCTGAGGTCTGGGCCAATCACGTATGCTGGCCACCTTGGCATCATCCGGCCTCAGTCCATCTGCTGATATTTCATGATCTAAGTACAAGATCTTGGTGCGACCAAACTCGCATATTTCCAAGTTAACCTTGTACTGGTGCTGTCTTAGGAGACCTAGCACTGTTTTCAAGTGCTCAGCGTGCTCCTCTACAGTCCTACTAAAGATGAGAATATCGTCGAGGTACACAACGATAAACTTGTCTAAGTAGTCATGAAAAATCTTGTTCATCGCGTGCTGGAATGTACCAGGTGCATTGCATGGTCCAAACGGCATCACCACAAACTCGTACAGACCATACCTGGTCTGAAAAGCGGTTTTGTGCCGATCCTCAGGCCTAACGGCAATTTGATGGTATCCAAACTTCAAATTTATCTTGGTGAAGTACCGACATCCCTGCACTCTATCCAAGAGGTCGTCGATGCGGGGTGGGGGCTCGGTGTTCTTTACGGTGATGGCATTGAGGCCCCTATAATCAATGCACATCCTTAATGGACCTCCCTTCTTTGGGACAAATAAGACTGGCGCACCATAAGGGGAGGTACAAGGCCGGATCCATCCCTTCTCTGTGATCTCCTTGAGCTGGCGGCAAAGCTCATCTAACTCCGCAGGAGACATCCTATAGATTCGTCCTCTAGGCACCTTACTACCTGGGACAACCTCTATCGCATGGACAACCTCCCTTTCTACCACGCCTGTGGGCTCCTCAAAAAGGTCTGAATATTGAGCGACGNGGGACAACCTCTATCGCATGGACAACCTCCCTTTCTACCACGCCTGTGGGCTCCTCAAAAAGGTCTGAATATTGAGCGACGACTTTTTTTATCTCTGGGGTGATTTAACGGCCTCCCCTTTCTCAGAGACAAACACTAGATACATGCCCTCCTCGCGATTCTGCTTGTAATAGTTATAGAAAGAAGAAGCGCACATGCAGCCGTAGTTCTCCACTAGATACTCTCCCACTTGGCGCTCAGCGCCCAGCCTACTCCTAGCACAGCTACTACAGCCTACTAATTGACAATGCAACTGTTAACATCAGCAGCAACCCGAAGTACTTGAAGATGTCGCCCATACGCAGACCATCGCCAATACAAGGTAAGTGCCCTCACATCATCATCATAATCATCCTTCGCCCTTCCTTGACTTAACACCCTAACCTGTCCTCTCTTGCACCCGAGAACCACCCCTGCGCCTCACTGTGTATCCAAGCCGAGCCCGCTATGGAGGCTGGCTATGGTGCTGCCCTCAGCAGCGCCCTGCTCCCACACACAACCGCACGTGCGCAGCCTCTTGCTCCAATGCTGGCAGCCAGCCCGCGAGCAATTGCTCCAGCAGCGCTGCCGCCAGCCAGCAAGTGACCGAATGCCAATGCCAGGGGAGAGGAAAGAGCTGGCCTGCTTGCGCAGCCTGGCTGCACTGGCCTGGGCCCAGAAGCTTCAAGAAGGCCCCAGGAGGCTGCCTGTGTACAGCAGCTACTGGGCTGCTAGGCCTCGTTCGGTTGGGCGCCCAACTGTTTCTGTATGAGGCTGCGAATCACGCCCAGGGCCTGCATTCTTTGGAAAAGCCCGGAGGCCCATGGAAATGTCTTCGTGGCCTGGCCTGAGTTTCTCTCAACCAACTGGCGCACCGCAACTGCCTGGACCTCAAATATGAAATTGACAGTCGAGGGCCTCTTGCGGTATGTCAGGCCCGCCTTCACTTAGGGTGGGCAATGCTGCAAACAGGGCCCGTTAGGCCTACCGAGGACTCTGATGCTCGCACAATCAATGTCTGCCACAAAATGTCGAATCAGATCCTGGCGCCATGTACTGACCGCGTGGTGTCCCTGTGCAGGTTGCTGGCTCAGAGCCCAGCTATGGCGCCCAGGTATGTACCGCCACTGCAGGTATGACCTCCGTCTCCCTCGCTCTACCTACACCTGTACCTCTAACGCACCGCTGTGTCGCGCTGCTCCAGCAGCGTGTCGCCCAAGAAGCGAGCTACTCGAACTGTGTGTCTGCCCAGGCGTGGCCCGGCTATAAGGAGCGCTGGGACTCGCGGGTGTGCCTCCGTGTGCCTCTGGTCTTTGGCCTGTAACGTGGCCTGCTGGGTCTGGGTGCCGACCGGCCGTCCAGACCCTCCCTGCTGATGCAGCAGGGACATCCGCTACTGGACGAAAATGGACCTGGCCCAACAGGGCCTGCCTATGTCCGTACCAGGCCAAAAACGTGGCCTACTGTTTGGACGAACTGCAAGTCCGAAACGACGCCTGAACAGACAACAATAGGACAACAAATAAATAAATAAATACATCATTCTGCCTCGAATCGAAACCTGCGGCCCTAAGGCCAGTTGTGGGCCTCCAGGATGTGCGCCCGAGGGGCATGCGGCCTGAGGCCTGCCCGCAATCATCGGGCCCCCAAAATGGGGCCAGTTTGCAGGCTCGGCATGTAACAGTGTCTGTTGTCATATTCGCTATACACTCAAGAAAAGCATGACTGTGCCAGACTGTTTCGTTGGACTTCACCGACTCATCAGGAGTTTGAACCCCGACAGTCTGCCCAGGATTCATTTGACTAATGGATAAGGACTCACCACATCGCCCAGAGTTAGCCACACCCCTGCGAAAAGTGGTCGACTTTACTCACACCAACCTTGCAACCTAGCAGACTGCCGGTCCAAGCCCTTGACAAGAACGGTAGTAAGTCTGAGAAACTAATCTGACACACTCTTGTGTGTGTGTGTGTGTGTGTGTGTGTGTGTGTGTGTGTGTGTGTGTGTG